GCTGAATTGCACAAAACGCATGATCGCACCGGCTAGTCTGGTGCGCGTTGCCATTTATTCTTTTTAACTCAGCAACACTTCCTCTCCTCTAGTTCACCGGTGTGTTTCTGGTACTCATCTACTTCATCGACTTACAGAACCGTCGGCAATCGCGGCATTTGCGCCACCGTATTATTTTCAGGCGCGGCACTTTCTGATTCTCCGGTTGGCTTAGCGGCATATATTCTCGAGAAGTATTCCACCGCCACAAACATTGATTATCGATCCCTTCCGGATGGCGGCCTCACAAGGTAATGCTTTGAAATCCAGTCAGGCAAACAGCAGAAAGCTGAGCAACTCGTAACCACAGCGTAATTGAGCGAAGGGCGAGAAGGAAAGAGGAGCAGGGAGGGGAGGATGCGTGGAGAGTAAAATCCAAGCAATTAAAATGCGGCGACCAAGTCCGCCTTGGATGCTTAAGTGATAAAAACTGGAAGATTCCAATCAAAAGGTAAGATCAGGAGATAAGAACGGTTTATCTCAGGACGTAAAATAAGACGTTTCGGATCACTAAGTCATATAAGTCTTAACTCAACACTGCAACAGAACCTCGTCAGTATGACCGATGTGGTGAATGGAGGGAAGCAAAGGTAAAAGAAGTCAAAGAACAGCCGAAAAAGAGCGAGAAGAGCGAAAAAGAGCTAACATAAAGAAGTGGAAGAATTAAAGTGAAATGAAGGAAGAAAGAAAAAGTAGGAAAAAAATTTTGGAAAACAGAAACAATCTTGAAGAAACAAAAAACGAACCTAGTTATCCACTTCTCACGCCCTGTCTTTCAAACTTTCGGCCTTTAATCAAAAACAGCATTTTTTTTTTTTGTAATTTTATATGAATTTCGATCAATCACTAAATTGCGGACAAAAAGTGCGCACTCTAAGTCCAAATTTCCCAGAGTTCGTTTTCAGATAAATTGCGCTAACATGATGCACTCAGTCAGGCAGTTAACCAATCACATGTGAAACCAGTCCATGAGTAGACAAGTTTGCCATCACATAATCACTGCGTGACCAGAAAGTCCTCATTTCAGGAGGTTCACAATGGACGAACTTCTGACGATCGTATCAATATATTGGTTCAATGGGAATGTTGCTAATTCGCTAAGATATTACAAGGAGCATTTCCGGAACCCGTTTAAGCTTTTTTCGCTGAAGTACGTCAACATTTTGCTTTTTCGTTGTTTATTTTTTCCAAATCTTACGAAATGAAGCAGCTAGTGGTACGTAAAAAAGTGAAAACCGCTCTGATGATACAGAATGAGATAGCACGCGCATTACAGGATGAGATGGCGCGCAAATTTTTTTAAAATATTAGCTTTCCAGCTTTTCTAATTCCCGAGTAAGCAGTTTTCCTGCCGTTTGCACAGTTTTCCCTATAAACATTTGTTGTCAAGCAGCACCGGTTTTTTCGAGCAAGTACTTCTAGCTAAACGAATAGAAATACGTACCAAATTCAGATTCGTTATTCTTTATATCTGTTTTCACGGAGTTAAGATATTATACAGCTGTCGGCACCGAACTGCACCGTATTTAAGATGGAAACGTGAAAGTTGTTCTCACGTACATTTACCCAAACTTGGCCGTGGGTCATGCACACAAAACTGTAGCTGATTGGTTGTCAAACATGTCGAAAATATTTATAGCGAGGAAGTGATTTCAGAAACCAGATAGGCTACAAAACTAAAATTCTACAAGAATATTCCATGCCTAAACATGACCTAAACGCTTCAAATTTAGTTCCGAGGTACGACTAGATGTTGTGGCAAACGCAATTAATCAGTCTGAACAGGAAATCATAGTTTTTTGAGGATACTTATCGTCTATGTGCGGGCTCATAAGCGTAAAATAAACCCTACATACACTTCGTAGTCCTTCTCTTTCGGTAGTTAGAAAGATCAGGAAGTAAAAATTTTACGAGATGCTGGCATATCTTGTGCGGCACTAAAAGCGTAAAATTAGTTTTCAAAAACAGAACAATTGATAAAAGTTGGCATTATTCGGTTGATTAATGCACTCCATCACCTCATAAATTCTAGCCGCTACATATCTGTTCCAACTGGTTATGCTGCTTTCCCGAAAGATCTAATGCGGCAGCCGAAAGAAGTGATAGAAATGATGTTCAATTTGACCAGCTATACAGAAATGGAGTCTGGAGCACATTTTGTTGCCCTGGAAGTACCGAAACTTCTCGCCGACGATCTTATTAAATTTGTTAAAACAATTCCTGAACTAATCACATAAGTCAAGGGCACGTAAATGGGGCTTTTTTTTCAGTTGCGAATATTATAACAATCTTACAATTTAGAGATTACTGTGCTGACATTTTGGTTACTTGTAGTTTGCTTGTTGAGGCTGCTTCTGTTTCTCCTTGCCATTATTTTAATTGCCTCATTTTTATGCCGTTCACTTATGCCTTTGGCCAGCAATTCGTGGCCTTAGTAACGAATTTTTGTGCCCTCAGCTGAACATCAGTGACAGATTTCTCGAAAATATCCCTAATGAGGAAGCTAAAGCAGATATTAGTTTCATATTTGCGCTAA